TTGTGCTGCCACTATTGGGAAATCAGCCAAAGACCTTCCTACCCCGAAAATTATCAAGGACCTCAATAATTCGTTCGCGCGAAAGCAAAACCAAACTTCATAATCCGAACTTAAAAGTACGTGTTAAAGAAACCTTATAAGGCGTTATGGAGATGTATCAATAGCACTTTGTTGAATATCGTTCAACGTTATGGGACGTCTTGTGTTCCCCTTCAGGGGCCTAATAGCAAGCGTTGTGTTAAACTACATTTCCAACTTGATTTATTAGTACATTTCTTGACGTACCGTACTATACTTACTTTTTTTTCTTTTTTAGGATGAATTAATATCATCTGAAGAAATTCAGAACGAAATCGAAATAGAACAGCAAACTGATAATTTAGTTAAGGTATATCTTAAGAACTGATATATTTATATGTATTTTCCCGTATGATTTTTTTACAATTGTTTCTTTAGATAAAGATCCATGGAATTCTCAAAAAAGAAATTCTGGTTGAATGAACTTTATAAGGATAACAGTAATGATGATGATGTATCAAAAGAAGGAATAATGGACCTTACTCACAAAAGTCATTTCGTTCGGCAACTTCCCGAAGATTTTATAAAAGTTTTCTTGAATCATTAAATCAATATGATCAATTAATCCCGGCAAGTTTCTGGTTGATTTTTTTTCACAAGTAAGGATAAATCGTATTACAAGCGGTTTCAATTGCAATCATCTCCTAATATGCTTATGCGTGTTTTTTTTTTTTTGATATAAGAAATTAACTTATAAGCAGTGGTCAAATGAAATTAAGAACATAAAATGAGTTGAAGATATTATACCAAAACGCATGTACTGAAGACACTGATGCCAAAACGTATGATGTTACTGTGCTAAATACCGGATTTACAAGCTCTTATACAAATTGTTACATCACCTTCCTAAGGTAAATTTTTTCTTTCTATCTATCATTATATGTATATATAATAACTCTTTAAATACGTGAAATAGGAAAATGTCGGGTCGTTTATCATCAAATATTAATAATCGGATCAAACTACAAGTATACTTAATCAAGTTATGACATTGCAAGAAAGAAATTAAGACTTGAAAGTTTCCTTATGAAAAAAGAATATGATCAAATTTATGATAAAATTAACAAACCAATTGATGTATTTAAAGGATTTAGTATTTTTATATGGTCAACCTTGTACTGAAAAAGATTTTAAACGGGTAAGTTTGTTTTTTTTTTTTCTTTTGGAAATTTGTTAAATCAGTTGAATTGATTCTTTGAATTTGTTGAAATTAATGGAACGGAAGTTAAAAAGTATATAGTCTTATGGGAGGGTTTAATTGGTGATCGAATTTTTTAAAAAGACGCTGAATCTTTATTGTATGAAACAATTTATGAAAAAAGATAAACGAGTTAATGTTAGTAAATTTTTTTTTTTTAATGGTATATTGTTAACATTATTTATTAACGCGACATTATTCTATCGATTAATTCTTTATTCTTTTTATTTTTTTTGTAATGAATTTCACTTATCACCAAAAAAAAAAAAATATCGTATTTAGTAATATTTTGGAATGAACAGCTTTACCAAATTCTGCATTTGTTTTGATAATGTTGAACCGTATAACTTTTATTATTTTGAAATTTCGACTTGAAAATATTGATCTATTTGCAGCTGTCGAATTTACTGCAAGAAAAGTGAGCGCTATTTCACAAAATGCAAGAGATGCTCTGTTTATTGCAGGTAATTACTTTAAACTATTCGGAATAATAAAATACAATACTAGTATTAAGAATTAATATTCCACCCTTTTTGTTTTTTATTATTTTTATTATTATTATAGATACGCAGTAAGAGTTCTCGAGACACAAGTCATAAATAAATTAGTATCGAGAAATAGTTGTAATATGGTTCTAAAGACTATAAGAAAAACTAATACGCTTTGGAAGAAATATATTAGTAGAAGTTTTCTACAAGTTAAAGTATTTCTTTATGCCTGATTATTATTGAAGAAAAATGGAAAATTGGAAAACGAGTTGAAGGATGCAAGTAATGTATTCAAGATATCATTGAATAACAAGATTATGATATATCAAGCCTTATTGTATTAATGAATATTGCGATCTCTTATCAGATGCTAGTAAAGATTTCAATTCAGATGAAATCGAAAGTGATGTTAGTTCAGTGCTATCTAATGATTTATTTTTTAAATACTTTGATTCAATTTTTTTAGTTATTAAAATCGTTTATCATGTGATACTCGATAATATATGTTAAGAGGAATAAAATAGATCATACTTTTTTTAACTTTTATACATATTTTTAATGTTTATAAATATTAGTATTACAGTATAGTATATAAATTTTAATCTATTTTAATGAATTAGAATATTATATAATTGGCATTATTTTTATTATCTAAAAATTTAAATAATAAAGATACTATATATTGTTACACCATTTTTTTATTAATGTATAATGATAAGAGGAGCATTCACATGGCTTATCAAGTAAATGTTATTTTAAAGAGATTTTTTAATTAAGTTTTCAACACCCTTATTAAAGCATTAGCAACCTTGCCTAAAAACATTTTCTCAATAGTTGTCAATCTAATTAAAATATCTAAAATGGTTATACAAGATTCTAAAAACTTATAAATAGATCAAAAAATTTTTTTAAAATTGTATCATTAATACCAAATATTTCATGATAGTTATAATTTGAAAATTACAATTTTTTGACTAATATCAAAGGCTAAAATTACATAAAATATTTCATTTTTTATTATTTTAAAGGTTTTAATTTGTATCATTTTTTAGATTTTATATATTAAATATATATATTACATAATTTACATATGGAGTAGATCTAAGAAATCAAAATTTAAAACTAATAATTTATTTTAAAAATAAAGATGATTAATTATTTTATTTCAAAATTAAGAAACAAAATTTGTACTAATTTTAGATCTATTAATCTTAATCATGTAATACAAGTCTTAAAAACAATAAATTTGCATATATGTTTTGATCTATAAAAATAATCTTCTGAAGCTTAGTTATACAGAAATTAAATTATTTCAATTATATATACTGTAAATAATTCTATCATTATGCTAAAAAAAAATTAATTATAAATAATTAATTATATTTTATAAGCAGTTTATTAAATATTATATTATATTGTAAAATCAAAAAAATCTTAAAATGATATATTATATGATCCTTTATAATAAAATAAATAAATCATAAAAATTATAATAATAGAGAATAGGAAATAATCAATCAAATGAAGAATTATGAAGAAAAATAATAACCAGAAATCACATAATAATAAAAGAATAAAAATAACTAAAATAATATAATGAAATACAAATCATCTAATATAACTAATAAATAATATAATTATACAAGATATAACATAACTGAAATATAATACAAATCTTATGACAAAACTGAAATGAAGCACAATAACTGGAATGTAATACAATAACTAAAAAATGATATAATAACTGAAAGTAATACAATAATCTAAATATTATATAATAATCAAAAAAAAGTATGATAACTAAAACGTAATATAGAATAAATTATAAGATTTAAAAATACAAATAATTAAAGTTACAAAGAAAGAAAAAGACCCTTAAAATTAAAAGAGAGAGAAGAAAACTTATAAATATACATGAAAAATTCAAATAAAAGAAACTAACAAATTAAAACTATAAAATACTTATATAACTTATATTACTAAAAAAAAATTAGTAAAAATATTAAAGAAAATATAAATATACTTGAATATAGAAGAAAAAAAGAATTAATATATAAATTAAAGGAATAGAAGGAAATGAAGTGATAATTAGTGAAAGTAAAAGAATATCTAAAAATAGAAATAACAATAATATTATAAGAATACATAATAATAATATATAATATAGGAGGATTTCTAGGAAAATCAGATTCTGAAAAATTTTTGACTTAAATTAAGAGCTTAATACATTTTAATCTAAGTTCATGAGAGAGTTTGTAAACTGTCTGTTACCATTTTTTATTTAGGTCTTTTATTATTTTTTAAAACATAAGAAGTTTGTTTATTATAATTATTTACTCTGATTTCTAGTATGTTAGTTATAAGTAAGAAATAGTATAGATCCTTATTAATATATTATAAATAAAATCAGATCAAAATAGTTAAGTCACTAAATATATATTTTATTTACAAATAATTAATCAATATATTATCCAGTCACATTTATCAGTCTAATCTAAAGAATCATCTGTGAAGAAAATTTCAAGAAATATTTTAAATAAAAATAATTTTTTTAACTATCATATAGACTACTTAGCTAAAATTAATACTTATCCTTCTATAAATCCTTATAAAATAGTTACTTTTTTAATAATGCTTTTCTTTGATGATAATTTTCAAATTCTAATATATTTATCCTTTGTTAAAATCATTTTATACAAGTATCTTGATCAGATATGAAACAAGTTAACCTGTCTACTATAAGTAGCTTTTTTTTTTATTTTATGCTTAAGTTTGCAAGATTACAAATTGTTTATAAATTTTTTTTTTTAAAAATAAATAATTCTTATATGTTTAACTTTCTTTTGAAAATTATTTTTTGAGTAATTATTAAAAGTCATTTTTTTTAATAAAATTTATTATTAAAAAAAGAAAATTTAATTGAGAAAAATTTTAGATTTTGAATAGTTAGATCAACATGTAAAAAAGTTATATTTAAAAAAAATAATTTATCATATAATCCTAAATAATGCTCTGAACGGTTCGGTTCAGTCCGGATTATAGGCCAATCTGAAACCGATCTGAAAATTTTAGTTTGGTTCAGTTCGGATTATAAATCCTAAAGATGCCAATCTGAAACCGAACTGAACCGTAAACTGGTAAAAATCCGAACCGAACCGAAAATTTCAGATTAATCCGAAATTTCGGATCATTTGGAACGATCCTTTTATCATTCTTTTAGAACGATAACTTCAATCGTTCCAAATGAACGATTTTTTTATTGTTCGATTGGAACGATAATTTAATCGTTCCAAAAGAACAATTCTTTTATCGTTCTTTTAGAACAATAATTTGATCGTTCCAATTAAATGATTTTCTTATTGTTCGTTTGAAATGATAATTTAATCGTTCCAATTGAACGATTCTTTTATCGTTCGTTTAGAACGATAATTTGATTGTTCCAATCGAACGATTTTTTTATTGTTCGTTTAGAACGATAACTTCAATCGTTCTAAACGAACGATTCTTTTATCATTCATTTGGAACGATAATTTGATCGTTCTAATCGAATGATTTTCTTATTGTTCGTTTGAAATGATAACTTCAATCGTTCCAAACGAACAATTCTTTTATCGTTCATTTGGAACGATAATTTGATCGTTCCAATTGAACGATTTTCTTATCGTTCGTTTGGAACGATAACTTCAATCGTTCGTTTGGATCGATAATTTAATCGTTCTAATCGAATGATCCTTTTATCGTTCGTTTAGAACGATAATTTCATCATTCCAAACGATCCGAAATTTTGGATTAATCCGAAATTTTTGGTTCAGTTCGGATTTTTTTCGGTTCGGATTAGATTTATAATCCGAAAAAATCCGA